TAGGAGTTAGAATAAGAATAGCAGTTTATCTTAGTACGCAAGGACCAGATTAAGTGCACCTATGGTTTACCAGTTGTATAACATTATAATTAATGAATGCATGGCTGGAAAGCTATGTGCATAAATGATAACTACTGAAAGCATATAAGTAGGAAACAGAGCTATGAATTATTCTTTTCCTTGCATTCTTTGGATGTAAAGGGAATTAAATTAGCAATAGACTATTGCTTTGATAGGTTACCCAATATTTTTAACAAATAGGGAAGTTAACTTTTTAGTTAACTGTGAGGTGTAAGAATAGTAATATTTTAAGCCATCTAACACTAAGTATAAAGAATCTTGAAAATTACTTATCATTAACGCCCGTAGGGGACTAAAATAAAATATAAATATAATAAAATATAAATTAACATTCTCATTAGAAAAGGGAGTATTAATTAGAATTTTATCTAATATAAAATAAACTATAGTATATAACTTATTATAATTTTAATTGCTTATTTCTTAGATATATAAAATCTATTGTTTTTTGAAATAATTTTGATTATTGATATATTAAAAGATGGTAATTATTGATATAATTAGAGATGGTAATTATATTATAATTGAAATGGTTTGCTGTTTCTGAAATAAAATAAATTATTAGAGATAAATTACATAATAAGAGGAAGAATTAAACTTCTATCATATTTGTGAACAAAAGCTTTATGTTAAACTATTGTTTATTTTATATTTAAAAGTGAAGCTTAAAGGTCTTTATAAAAATAGACCAAGACATAGAAAAATATAATCTTCCCTTTAATATGATTCCGAAGGGAATCATTTATCAGATTAGTTCTTGGCATACCTGCTCTGTAAAACGGGCAGATATATAATACTAAAACGTGATATTATCTTGTAATAATGTTGAATATTGGCTAATATTCTAAATAAAATTATTCCCTAAGGTTTTAATATCTTAAGGAATAGTCTATTCAGATTATAATAAGTAATTATATAATATTTATATTATCATTATACAATACTATGATATACTAAAGATAGATTTTTTTATAAAATTTATTGTTATAAATATAGAAGCGCGGATGATAGAATTGAACTATCAATACAAGATCATGAGTCTTGGGTGTTAACCATTACACTAATCCACATTTTTTTTTATTTCAAAAAATATTATATAAACTTTTACCTTATGGGGAAAAGGAATGTCCACCTCTTCTAGAGGATAAAATTAAGTTTATTAAAGATAAAAAGAAACCTAACTTTATTATACTAATTTATAATTAATAATACAAAATTTATTTATTAATATATTAGCTTTATATCTTAGGACTGAGAGGACTTGAACCTCTACTATCGGTCTTATCAAGACTAGTGGGAGGGGGAGTTTTTATTTTTCGTCTATAGTTAATACTCGAGTATTAAATTAATTCTAGATTATCGAGTATTAAATTGTAAAGACTAGATTATTGAATATCGGATTATATATTTACCATCAAATATTTCACCAGAAATTATATATTTATTTATTTTAATAGTATAAGTATTTAAAAGTATTGCTGCTTCTTTTATAGAAGAACATTCTTTATAGAGCTCATTATTTAAATTATATATATATACTTTTCTCGCATTAAGGGCAACTTTTCCATACATAGGATGGTTAGTACCAATTTTTGCGTCACTCATTTTACTAAGCGTGCCGAGTGAATGTTTTTTACTTCTATTTGCCTCGCTTAATTTAATTAAGGTCTCAGCTTTATGTTTAGATCCTTTTTTAGCTTCACTCATTTTAAGTAGTGTTTCTTCTTTATGAGTTTTTCCATAAAAGGGGTTAAGTTCACCAACTTTCCCAAACATAGGATTATCCTGAGCATATAATTTATGCTCTTCTTTATGCTTGTAACCAAGCGAAGAACCTGCTATTCTTAAGATATTATATTCCGGTGCAAGTACATCTATGTAATACTGTTCTCGCTCTAAAATATAATTTTTAATGTTATCTTTCGAAAGATCTGTAATATTTATATATTCTAATATTGTTAAACTAAATGCAGAATATCCATAAAGAGATAAAGCGTTACATATGTAACTTCTTTTTCTTCTAATTAAATAAGATAAAGAATAATATGAGCTTAATCTTTTAGAGATATCTATTGAACTTCCTACATAGGTAGTCCCTGAACTTACGTGAGTCCATAAATATACACCAGCCATACCTTTGTTATCTTTAATAATATCTAATTTATCTGTATCTGCATTCAAATAAACTTTACTCGAAGGATACCCTTTTTTAGATAGATTATTAAGATTACTTGAATTTGTAAAATTTCTTACAAAAAAAACAGGGAATATATTAAAAAAATAATAGAGAGGGGAGTCTTTTTTAATAGATAGTTTATTTCTATGCCATGAGATAAGAATAATACTATTTACAATTTCGGGAGTTTGTACACAATAATTCTCAAAACCATAGATTAAAGTATATGAGATAGCCATTAATAAAAAAATAGTTAAATATAAAGCCAAGAACCAAAAACATATAATATAATTAATATATTTATAATTAAAATTAATGTACATTAAAATATATCTATTTTTAAAATATTCCATTATTCTTTGATTATATTTATTTATTAATGTAACGATAGTTAAACTTAATAAGACATATAAAAGAAAACATAATCCCAAAAATAATAATAACTCAAGCTTAAAATAAGGATTATTTTGAGCTATACTTAATAAATCACCACTTTCTAACATAGAATTTATATTATAATTATCTGTGATGTCATAATAATCTTTGTCTAATGTTTTTTGTGATAAAGTATTTTCACTAATTGATTCATTAATTGTTTCCTTATTATCTTCATTATTAATTAAAATGTTATCTTTTTTAAGATCTTTTAAAGTTAACATATTATCTTTAAATATAGCATTAATAGAATAATTATCTATTTTAATAGTACTATCAATTTCAAACTGATGTGAATTTTCAGTAGAAATAGGTATATCAGGGATAATAGTAGAACTAGATGAAGTATTAGTAGAACTAGATGAAGTATTAGAATTTTTATTTCTTACACTTTCAAATACTTCCCGCATTGTATTAATAGTTGCTTGGTACATAAAACCCATACCAGTAATAGTTGTTAGAACACCTGCTCTAGTATTAATAGGTAATTTACTTAGTATTTTAGCAGCTCCAATACCACCTCCAGTAAGAACTGCGCCTACACCCACATATTGAAACATATTATTAACATCTATTTGTATACCCACACTTAAAGGAATTCTTACAATAAATTCTTTATTAGGTATATGTGAAGTATCAGTAATATTATCAAAAGAAGGTCTACCTTCAAGAATAGGAAGAATTTTACGTTTTTTAGTACCATAAGTTGGATCAGAAGATATTATTTTATTATTATCATCGTCACCCATACAATAAATAATATTATCGTTTAATACTAAATAAATACTAATATTACATAAAATTATAAATAAAAATAAAAGAATTTTATTATTAAAGAAAACTAATAAATAATAATAAAATTTAATATAAAAAAAAGATCTTTTAGATCTACCCACAGCTCTGCTGTAGGAATTTAAAAAGTTAAAGTTTGTAAACATTGTTATAATTATATCGGTTCAAAATTGGCCACCGTAGCATGATGTTTAATATTGGTGTAGAGTTTGAAGAAAAAGAAATTAAAATAAAGTTAATATTGCTTTTAAGAAAACTAATACAAATTATAAAGTTAATTTCTAATAAGAGAAGCTTCCTCTTTTAAATTTATTAAAAATAAACTAAGAAATTTTTTTATATTTTTTGTTCTTTACCATCGGAGGTCCCTATTTAAAAACAACCCTACGCTGTACGATTTATAGGTTTAAAAATTTTTAAAATTTCCTCAATGCACGACATGGATTTATCCGTCAGAAACAAAAAAAAATAACTTAATGTCTTTAAATTAAATAATAAAAGAATCCTTATTTCTCCCTATAAGTGAACTATTATTAAAATAGAATAGAAAATAAAATTATAAACTAAACAATTAATAATAGCTCATATTAAAATGAATGGAAAAACTTAATAAACCTATAGGAAATAATAAAGTCTAGATATAAAGATAATATAAAGGTTCATTATCATTTTCTATTGGCAATTCACTTTTCATTGCAATTTTAATTAATAAATATAGTATACTATATTTATTAACTTAGGACTGAGAGGACTTGAACCTCTACTATCGGTCTTATCAAGACCGCGCTTTAACCACATTAAGCTACAGTCCTTATTATTGTTATTATTAAATAAATTTAATAAAAAATGGGGGGAGATATTCATTTAAGTTTTATAATGAATATAAACTAAAATTCTGATATATAATTGTATAATATTTTGTTAAAAATCCTTACAATGTTAATCTACGTCATTTGAATTATTATTATTTGAATTGCTATCGTTATCCTCCTCATCTATAAAGATACCTAAGAATACTCTAAAAATAGTACTGAGTATCTCATATATTATCATGGAATCAAATAATTTTCTCAATTCTTCTGGGTCATATAATCTTTTTAGGTTAAATTTAAGCATATTTTCTATAAACATTTGTACAACATTTTTTTTTCTTTTTGGGGAAGATTCTATAACGGTATTCTCATCAACTGTTTCCTTAGAACTATATTCAGATTTAGTACTATTATTTCCAGAGTGATCTGGAAACGTATCAGAAAAACAAACACTTTCTGATTCAATTTTTCTAAATCCTAAGAACTCTCTTATAAATTCTATAGAACTATCTATATATTCAAGGGTTTCTGCGAATTTTAAAAAAGGGGTAAATGTAATGAATAAAATTAAGATTATGGTAATAAATACGCATAATAATAAGAATAAATTATTTATTGGGCTAAATTTCATAATGCAATTTTTTGAAAATCCTTTATTTATTAAATATTTTAATGAGACTTTAAAGGGTTAACTAATAAAAAAGATAGAGAAGACTTGTACTTTATTTCTTATTTTTAATAAAAATTTAAATATCCTAAAAAGTTATGTTATGTAATTACTGATTATTTTTTAAAAACTATTAATTTTATTAAAGAGACCTCTCCGGTTCTAAATAAACTAGACCGGTTAAAATAAATCGTTACTCTTATAATAGATAACTGATAATAAAACAGATACATCTATCGACGCAGCAACGTAAATTCAAGCTAAATAGTTTATTACTAAATTCTTATAAAAAATAAGGGGGGGATTCTATAATTTTATTAATGAATAAAAAAATAAAATAAGATTTTTAAAAACAGAAATTATCCAGTACCATATCCAGAATCATTGTCATTATTGTTAGCTGCTATAATAAGTAGCTGATTAAGAAAGGCATGAAATTCATTCAACTGCTCGTCATCAGGACCATCAAATGGTCCCATAATAATAATATAAAGCATATATAATATTATATTAAAACTTAGTATATCTGTAAAATTTTCAATATTTGGTTCAAACTCTGTAGTAAATAATTTTATCATAAATCCACTTAAACCGCTTCTTACTTTCTTTTTGGGTGGAGATATCTCGGGCTCTACATCTATGAAGATCTCTCTAGAAAAGTCATTTGGCATACAATAAACTTCATTATTTGTAAAAATTAAAGAAAAAATAAAATATAGAATAATAGTAATAACAAATTGAACCAATTTATTATTAAAAAAAGAAATAAAAAATAACATTGTATAAAAAAAAGTTTCGTACAAAAAATAATACTTAATAATTAAGTATTAATAACGGTAAAAATTAATTATAACCATCTATAATTAATATTAAGGAATAGAAGCGCTTTAACCAATTAAGCTACAATCCTCTAATTAAATAAAAAAGCAGATGCCCTATTCTATAAAATCATTATAATAACTATAATCATTAGTTAATTAGTTAGGTGAACATAAATATATTTACCGTCTTATATAATTAATAAGAATTGATTAAGAATTAGTTTATTATAATTTAGATCTTAATTGACAAAAGAAAAAAATAAAAAATAAAATGTTAGCAATCTTTAAAGGACCAGGTTTATAAAAGGTTTAGATTTTTTTTATAAATCTTATAGCACTAGATTAACTAACTCTATTTTTATTAGAAGTTAACTACCACTGATTAAAAAAAACCCCTCACACTTAATTAAAAGTGCAAGGGTAAAAAAAGATTTAATTCTTTTTTATAAAGGTCCCGAAAGAGGACCGTGCCGAGGGCAAGCGAATACAATTACATAATCATATATTTAGAATTAATAATATTATTAATTTCTAATTTACCTATTTTAGGATAAATAGGAATTTTTAATTTTTTATTTCCCAATATTACAATATTTCCACTCTCTCCAAGAGTATTTACTCGAGATGAGGTATCTTTTTCAATAATAAAATTATTATCTTTAATAGATTGAATTAAACGATTATGAAACATTTCTAAGAAATTTGGATTTGAATATAATAAAATAAACTCTTTTTTAACTTCATGTGCTAAATAACCCATTCTATTGGGATGAGTACCAAAACAGTCATGGATAGTTAATATAGGTGTAAAATTATTATTAATAGCACTATTAATAAGATTAATTAAATGAGAAGCATCTAAAGAATGAATAATATTAGGAATAATTGCATTAATTTGTTTATTTCCATCTATTTCATCAATCCAATCTTTTAAGACCATTTTTTTAGATCTTCCTCGAATATTTATAGATACTTTATAAATTTCAGATTTTGAATAACTTTGTGTTATTTCTAATCCAGAAGGAGTAAACCATATAAGTGGAATACCTAATTTTACCATTAATCTAACAATACTAAGAAAATAATCATAAATAGTTTTAAGTGAAGGAAATTCAGTAAAGATAGTTTTATTAATTATAGAAGCTATTTTTAAAACTTCTGAATTATTAAGTAAAACATGTCCATTAATAGCAGGTGCTTTATAACGAATAGTTTTAGCTCCCAAATTAACTAAAGTAAATTCACTAATAAGTTGATCTCTAATTCCTAAAATACTAACATTATAAACTTTAGTCATAATAGGTTTTTTAATTATTTTTCGAGTAAGTTTTATTGTAGATAAATTATGAAATTCAGTATTTTCTTTACCAAATTTATTAATTTCTGAGTTAATAGGACCCAATAAAGTTGAATAAATATCATTTATGTTCTCACTAGGCACTAAATTAACATTACTACCTAAACTAAAATCAGCTAATAAACCTGATAAATGTTGAATTCCTGAACAAGTAGCATCTAGAAATACTGGTAATTTAATGATAGCTTTAGGATCTTTCTGTAATTCAACTAATGACAAAGAGAAAGCTAAAAATAAATAAGGTGACTATCACTTATTTGAATTATTTTCAAATTATTCTAATTACGAAGCTCCAATTCATAAAGAATATATAAATAATAAATTCAATAAAATATATAATTCAGTTTTTTTTCAACACGTTGTCATTGCCCTGTTTTAATTATTATCATGAATTATTCTATGTTGATAAGGTTAAAATAGTTCCATTGAATATTGGTGAATTATTAAATGCTAGATCTTTAGCTTATTGAGCAATAGACGATGGCTCTAAAATTGAAGTAGATTTCATTTAAATATTAACTCTTTTACTTTAAGTGAAGTAGAATTATTATTTAAAGTTTTAAAGGAAAATTTTGATTTAAATTGTACGTACCATAATAAAGGAAGAGATCAATATATAATCTACATTAGAACTGAATCTATGATTAAATTTATATCTCTTGTTAGACCATATTTTCATGAATCTATGATGTATAAATTAGCTGCTTAATATTATAATATTTATTTAGTGTCTGGTAAGGGCTTTTATAAATATACCAGTAAGCCTTTTATTTTTCATTTATATTCAAATGAACACCCCAGTAGGCCTCTTTTCAAATAAGAATTGATTATTATTATAAGAATATTCTTTTAGAAATCTTTTCTTTAGAAATTACAAAAATCTTAAGTGGCCATTAATTATTTTTACCGTTATTAATAAATAATAAGAATTGATTAAAATTTAGTTTATTAAAAATCTGGTCTTAGTTGACAAGATACATATATATATTTAAAATGTTACAAAGCGCAAAAATCATAGGTGCAGGATTAGCTACAATCGGATTAGCAGGTGCAGGTGTTGGAATTGGAACAGTATTCGCAGCTTTAGTAAACTCTACAGCTAGAAACCCTTCAATCAAAGCTCAATTATTCTCTTATACTATCCTTGGTTTCGCATTGACTGAAGCTATTGGGTTATTCGCATTAATGATGGCTTTCTTATTACTTTACTCATAATTGTAGTAAGTGCAAACTCCCCCTTCTTATTAAATACAACAACAAACAATGATAACAACATATAACTTATATTCTAATAATTTGTTCATTAACTATTTTGATTCCATTAATATGGACCTTTTCTTTACTTTAGGGTTTATTAGTTTTGAATCCTATCTTGATATTACTGATTTTACTATACTATTTTCTAGTGTAGTACCTATAAGAGTATACTCAAATGTTGACCTAAATAAGGAAGAAATTATCCGGGATAATAGAAATAAATCAGGTGTATACCAATTTACTAATTTATTAACTGGGACTTTTTATGTAGGAAGTTCGACTAATTTGAGTAAAAGATTTTCGCAATACTTTAATTATAATTTTATATCTAGTCCTGCTCGAGGTAAAAGTATAATTTATTCTTCTCTTTTACATAATGGATACTCTAATTTTAGTTTAACTATACTCGAATATTGTGAATTAAAGGATTTACTTGGTCGTGAGCAATTCTATATCGACGTTATAAAACCTACTATGAATATTTTACCGATAGCTGGTAATTCATTAGGTTATAAACACACCTTAGATAATTTAGAAAAAATGAGTCTTTTAAAAAAAGATCGGTATTTAGGTCAAGATAATCCTTTTTATGGAAAATCTCATAGTATCGAAAGTAGAATTTTGATTCGTGAAATTGCATTAGCTCGTCTTAAATCACCTAATGCTAAATCAGTGATATTAACTGATTCAAATCATAAAACTATTCAGGAATTTAAATCCATGACAGCTTTATCTCTATTTTTAAAAGCTGATAAAGCTAAATTAGCACAACATAGAGAATCTGGTGAATTATTTAGAGGATTATACTATATAAAACCCTTAAATAAATAGTTTAGATTTAACTTATAATTATATAATTCTATTAAAGCTATAACTATACATATTCTATTAAAGCTAT